ACCTTTTCCCATAGCTTTCCTCCCATTATTTCAGTTAATAACCAATATAAAACAGAAATAACCTGGAAAACTAATAAAAAGAGATGAAAAGCAGAAACCACTGAAGTTCCAGGTCTTCAACATCCTCGTTAACTAGACCCTGTTTGCTAGATACTGGAAGTGAACCTGAGATTTTCTGTATGAAAATCAAGTTTTTCACCAGATTAGATCAGTAAAGATCACTGTGCTTTACCAGATCAGTAAAGATCACTGATCACAGCAGAATTTTGTATTGACTTGTTTTATTTTAACACACAGGCAGTATGAATGCTTCAACATATAAGAGCCTCTGAAAATCTGAAATTGCCAAGGGGAACATTTCAGCCCGCTATTCCTCTGTAATGTTAAAGTCAATAGGCAGCTAAAGCATGTAGGAACATGGAAGGATTTATTTTTCCCAATCCCCACCATCTGAAGCAGGTATAATATAAGTTAACTGAAGACTTCCATCCACACATCCATCAGTGTAAAACTTTGAACAATCATCCACCATGTTAACAGAATGTACTCTTACTCTTAAAGTATTTTAGCCTAAATATACATGAACTGGAAATTAAGACTTTAGCCCTGACTGCTTGGAAATTATATGTATGAACCATCTGGAAAGACAGAAAAATGTATAGGTCTAATAAACTGATAAATTTATCAGTTTATCATAGTCTCCAACTAAATGAAGCTAGAAGAATCAACAGCATCTATCTTGTGCTTGTTCCCAATTATACTTCCAAATTTTGTTTCAATGGTTTTACTGTCTATAAAATAGGGAGGGCAAAAACTGGAGGTTACTCCTGATTGATTGGGGTGCATTTGATTTGAGTTTAAGAGCTTGCACAAGTAATTCTTTAGACTGATTTTTAATGTAAGAAATCCCTTCTGCAATGCAAGCTTCGGGATTTTCCAATCAAAGTAGCTACCCTGAAAAGGTGTGTGCTAACATGCCAGTTGATAATGACTTGAAGATTACAAACTAATTTCTCTCAGAATCATAATTCCTAATTCAGTCACTTAATAATCTGATACTACACTTTCCCCCTGTAAATACAGCCTTTAAAGATTTTAGAATTTAAATATATTTCAGTTACCCTACACTGCTTTGCAGTACTGACTGACCTACATTACAGTTTACTTGTAGAATATTCAGGAGCAGGTTGTAAAGAAAAATAAAACTTTGGGATTTATTCAATTGTGCTTATATCCATTACTAGGACCAAAGGCATTTATGCTGCAAGGTTCTTTCCGGCTTGGTATAAATGCATAAATGGGGTATTTCAGTCATGGCAATGCCACTAGGGAAGCCCTGCTCACCGAAGTATCAAGGCAGCCCCATCATCCCTAAAGTTTTGTGCTGCCTCTTTTATGATCTTCCCAGGTCATCTGTGCATACATATACATGATATCGGTGGTGAAGAGGTTGCTACTTTATTCTCACAGAGCTGGAGGCCTCCTTTTCCCTTCTGTCCTAAGCCAACAAATTAGATATTTTGTTAGCTCCCTCTTCAGACAAAAGATTCTAGTCTATGATCCTTAGCTCCCTGTTCACCATATTAACAACAGGAAGCAGATTTACTTATAGGACCACTCCTTGGAGGATTGGAGGCAGCTGGAAGATCTCTGTTGGAGGAATCATCCGCCTTATTCACCAGTTAGTTTCTGTCTGGAAGGCCACCTGGATGTAGGGTCAGAACTGTGGAGGCTGTTTCAAGTCTTGGGCCTGAATCCTTCATCAAGAGAAGAGGGAGGCCTGCCAGAAAATATAAATGGGACATCTGGTGCCTCAACCTGCCTACCCTCCCAGACTGATGTAGCGACTTGAAAACTCTAAAACAAAGATGGATGGGTCACTCTGATATCCACATGGCTTTCCTGTATTGCTGTTACCCCTCCACTGGGTTCTGATGCTAAAGAGAGGACAGGAAAAAAAAAATTGCTCGCTGCTCTGAAGAGGAAAAAATACTTTTTGGCTTTCATGGCTCTTCTTCCTTGTGCTAGGAGCCCAAATGCTGCAGCTCGGAAGCTCCTCCACTGGCTTCAGTTGTCCACTTCTCTGTGTGCCAAAGGTCCTTGTTCACAGGGACACCCCTCAATTCCTAGTACAAAGGACTCTGTACCTGTTCACATTGCTCTCTCACTGCTCTGGAGGGAATTTCTACATGATGGCAAAACCCTTGCCTTTTGTATCAAAGAGGAGAAGTTAACCCTTCTGCTGGGCCCACTTTAATACTTAAGTGGCATTTTGCTTCTGGCGTTGTTCAATTAAGTATCCCTGCAAGTAAATTGCACAGCTGTAATAAACCACTTGGCAGTTTGTGAGTAAAATAAATTAAGCGGAAAAGCATTTTTCTTTTACTGATCCAGTTAAGGGATGGATGAAGTCTTGGAAAAAAGGGGGGTCCTCTAATGGATAGCAGAAAAGTGGTACTGTGTGCACCTGAGGCCCAAGACACTTCTTCCATATTATTTCTGAAACTTGCTCAATCCTACTGTAAGAATGATATCCCAGATGTATCACAGCAAATGTCAATTAATTATTACACTAAGGACACTTGGCAGAGATACCTTCTGCCAGGACTTTTAATCAGCATTTTAAATGCACTTATTTGTTCACCCAGCAGCTACATTTGAATGAAAACTAGAAATCTAGGGAAAGCTAGGAAATGCAAATTAGAGTTAACCATGGTCTTAGTTACCTTTTCCAATTAAGAATATAATGTATGCATTATAACTCAGAGGCTTCTTGCCAGTAAAGCACCCTAAAAAGCACATAAACAACCTGCATAAACAACAGTTTCCCCTGTCATTGTAGCACTGGACCTCATATACACTGCTTTGGATTTACCAAAAGGGGCCTTGTTTTTTTATTTTAATTTCTTATTTCAAGCTGGGAATCTATAAAATGACATCTTGGTGGTAAAATGTTGATCAAGTAAACAACTGAATGTGATTAGTTACGAATTTCTCATTATTCTCTTTCTGATGTGTGAGAGGCCAATTGTCCTATAAAGCATTTTAACAATCACTGAAGTATCCAAAAACAAGCAGGCCTTGTTGTCATAGTAAACAATAAACCCAAAAGCATTAAGTGATAAACTAAAATAGTCCAGAGTTAAAGTATTTGTACTGCTGTTCTTATGAGTAAGATATCGGTACTGGAGCCAATGTTTTATCAATTTAATTATCTTTTTCTACTGTTTAAGCAAATTTTGGATAATGACTACATGCAGTTTGTTATGGTCCTACAGTATTATATAAGCTGCCATCCTCAACGCAAACCCAAAATACAAAAACAGGATTCACTTCATAATTCAAAAGTCTGCACAATAATATAGTGAAATGCTTCACTTAAAGTTTAATACCATGTAGTCAATTGTAACCAAAGCTTTCTTAACAATGATTTCATTTAGCTAATGTGAATGATCAAAGAAACTTAAATCATTTATTGACAGCAATCCACTCAGTATTTCAGCAAATACAGTCAGCCGATATATCTTCGGTATCAAAGCAGCTGGAGCATAATGGAGAAATTAGTCTTCACGTAGTATCATGTAAGCGAATCCAGCTGCATTTGTATTGTTTCCAACTATTTGATCAAAACAAAAAAAGATATTTAGAAATATGAAAATAGAAGAGAAATAATGAAAATATGTAGATTAAATACAACTATATATTGATGAAACAAGTTCTCAGTAATAAAGCAAAAAAAAACCATTTTTCCCATTAAAGTGACTTTTAAAAAATTTGTCCAGTGACATTATAATGTATAGATATTTGTCTGCAATTTGGAAACCTATGTATACGTTTGTTCTGACTGGGTGAATTCTTCACCTGTATAAATGTAAATAAATATGTTTTATCAATTTAAGCTTTTCAGAAAGTTCTTATCCTTTTGGTTCTTGTTAGAGTTAACTACAAGCTTTAGCAGACATCACTTTGTTCAAAGCCATTTTAAACAGCAAATGTAAACCCTGTATATACAAGATATAACTCAGAAAAGCCTTGCTTTGGGGGAATGTAGGCTTTATGTGTTTACAAGAAAAGCTCCAAGCAAGAACAACTCAAAACCACAGACTTGATAATAGAGTCTTATTAAAGCAAAGGAAATGTTATCAAATGTTGGAAAATCCATTAAAACACCAATACAGACCTTGTTATAGAACTCAAATAGTTCTCCATGATTGAATTCCACAAAGACTTTCTCCACATTCTGTGAAAGACAAAAGGATGGGCAATAAATTAGTCCATACAATATAGTGCTTTCTGTACATTCAGCCTAAATCAAACTGTTAGTACAGTAATTTCTTTCAAGGGTTAATTTAAACTGCATAGAACTTATAAAAATAGCAATACTCTAACAACTTTTTTACAGTACATATATGCAAGATTACAAAAAAGGACTCATTCCTATTTTTAATCTGTTTCTTTGGAAGCTATTCTCTAAGTCGTAACAAAATAGATGGCTAGAAAGAAAATAATTTTATTACCTTTTTCTGAGGCACATCTAAAATGCTAAATGATATTTCAACTCTTCCAGATGTCATTTGACAGTCAGTAAATGCCATTATAACAAGACTTTGGAGGCTATGCATGCAACGGAATTCACTGATCCAGTACAATGGTATGCAAGCATAGATTTAACATTTCAAATTAATTTAACTGTTAATATCTTATCATGCTGAGTTCTCTATAGACATTCACCCAGACCTCCAGCCAAAGTTAACATAAAAAAGTGCTTTAAAACTATTCTTAAATATTAAAGACAAAGGCAGCTCTTGCTGGAAAACACAGTGGATAAGGCAGATGGTAGGTAATAACTTTCTGTACCAATAAATCTCTCCTGATTTGCTGGCTGATAGGTACTAAAACACTGTTTTGCATTTTTAAACCTTTTCTTGTTTATTTTATTTATTTTCCATGTCCTTTGCTTATGTCATATTTCTCTTGAAATGATGAAGTTTGCTTCAAAAGTGATAATTTTTCTACAACTTCCGTACTAACTATACAATACCATTCTTTATCATGTCTGTTTAGGGAACATCTACAGCTCTATTTTATCATCACAACAATTCTATTAGTAGGTTAGAACCTACTGATTACCCAGAACCATACACTAGGCTATACCTCCTCTCACTCCAGATCCAACACTCTAACCTTTACATAATGTTAGGTCTTCTATCCCTAACAGATTTTTTGCTGGTCAAGATTTCCTAGTCGAGTAACACTTTGGACATCTGTTATCCTTACACTTCTGACATTACTTCAATTTCTTTCAATTTTATTTTTCATTTTTGATTTCCTTAAATATGTTCAATTTTTCATTTTAATTATAAGATCTTATGGATTTTTTTTTACTTTGAAGTTTGGGCATATTAAGGGTCATTTCATTCAATCAGCCTAAAATATCTATTCACACAACCTTCATTCCAAGGTTTGTATAAAGTTTAGAGACTTATAACTATTAAAGTATGAAGTCCATTGTGCAGATATGAAAGACTGAAAGATAATGCTGAGGCAGTTTCCTCCAGTGAAGAATTATGATGCACTGTACATGTGTATTTGTTCCAGGCATTTTGTTCCAGGCAAGAAAGAAAAACAGATTCTATGATTCAGGTCTACCACTACCCCAATGATTTCCAAGAAGTGGGGATGAGCAAACAAGACATATCCTTTGAAGGGGATATTAAGAGCCATAAAATCACCAGGGCCATCACGTTTACCTCAATGCCTCCTCCTTTCTTCTGCAGAAAAAGGCCCCTTTCTAGCAATTAAAGGAAACTTATAAAGAACCTGTAATTTGTATGAGAATCTAGTCTTACCCTAATGAAGGAAATAAAGCAATCCTCAGAATGGGATACAGAATAAAAAAATAGAAGTGCTAGAAAAGAGTTGCTGTCTGTAATGATTCCTGTTGATCCTCTGTATAAAGAACATCCAATGTTTTAAAAAAGGGGGGGAAATTGTAAAGAGTTCGGTTATCTCATAAACTGAAAATAAGTTTATGCTAGTCTATGACCGTAATAAACTCTTCATTCATTCGAAAATAAGTTAACAAGTGCTACTTGGAGGAAAGGGGGATCCATTTCTAAATAATTCTTAGTGTTGCAATACCTTGGATTGTCATCTGCAATCTGAGTCAATATTCATATAATTCCAAAAACAAAATGCACATATATTCTGGGAAATATTATTATTTATTCATACTAAATAAAGAAAATATAGCCAGTTTGTTTAACTGTCAAATGAGTTTTGGTGCTGGTTACCATGTGCTCCTAAGCTGCCAAAAAGTGGACAGTTTATAAATGTAAAAGTTTATAAAAGAAAATAACTTATAATTTATACATTTAACAAATAAAAAAGAAAAACCTCAGACAAGTCAGTTTTATACAACAGAAATATTGTTATTTGAACTGCTAACACAAAGATCTGCTTTGTATTTCAAATTATAATTATTTTTGTGGGATCCCTTGACAATTATCAAATTTAAAACTTCTTATACATGTCTATAAATCATGGCAGGTCAAACTGAATTGGGAAGAACATTAGTTCTTGGATGAAACTGATTTTCTAGATCCATTTTAATTTGATTTCAGGACTGCTTATGGAACAGGAAACATCTTGGTTGTTCTGTGGGGTGACCTGGGCCAGGAAAAAGACAAAGGGAGTGCTGCCCTGTTTGTCCTCCTGGACCTCTCAGAGGCTTTCTATAACATCAAGCATGATGTCTCCTGGGTAGGCTGTCAGAGTTGGGATATGGGGGCACCGTACTACAATGGTTCCACTCCTACTTGGGTGACCATTTCCAGAAGGTAGTGCTGGGAGATTACTCTTCTGCCTCATGGAAGTTGGGTTATGGAGTCCCATAGGGCTCCATTTTATCCCTTCTGCTGTTTAACATCTACACAAAACTGCTAAAGATGTCATCTGGGGACGTGGGCTGAGGTGCCATCAATAGGGGAATGACACCCAGCTCTACCTCTCCTTTCCATCTAACACAGGTGAGGTGGTTGGTGTCCCAAACCAATGCTTGGGCAGGGGAATGGTCTGGATGAGGGCCAATAAACTGAGAGTCAATTCAGAAGACAGAGATACTGTTTGTGGGTAGTCCATCTGTCCAGTAAAGTGGTGCCCTGCCTGCCATGGAGAGATCTGCATTTATCTTAAAGGAGCAGGTTCTCAGTTTGGGAGTGATTTTAGATCCATCACTGTCCCTAGAAGTCCAGGTGGCCTTGGTGGCACAAAGTGCCTTTTATCAACTCCAGTGATTTACCAACTCCCACCTTACCTGGACAGAGACAGCCTCATAGCAGTTATTCACACTTTGGTAATTTCCCAGTTGGATTATTGCAATGTATTGTATGTGGGGCTGCTTTTGGAAACTGTCCAGAAACTTCAGTTAGTTCAAAATAGAGGGGCTAGACTGAGCACCTGGACTGGCCAATATAAGTATATTATGAGCCAGCCCCAGTAGGTAGACTAGACCAGGAAATCAACTCCACAGGGAGACCAAAACTACTTTTATTGAGATTAGTTGTAATAACAGAATCTTGCAAGTCTGACTGTGCTGCATGTCTTTGCCCTTCTTATACTCCTGTGAATTAGGAAGGTGTCTGTCTGAGCCTCTTCTGAATATGATCTTTTTGTTGTGGACTTGTTATGTTTCGCTCCTTTGGTTATGGAAAAGGTCAAGGTCCTCTTCTTCACCCTCTACATTAGGCCCCACTTTTGTCAAACCCCTTGAATTACAGCTGAAAGTCCTGACTTCACTCCCATCTGGGTGTGTTTCCTTTCAACTTCAATGTGGTGGTGTACAGAGGCC